CGAGGGACCAGGTACTCATTGGGGGCGTACGTGAAGCGAAGAGATCATGCTGTTTACTTTGACAGTTTCGGCGGTCGAAGATTGAAAGGAATTAGTGCGATATCTTGATGTGACGCAAATTGAGTATAATCGTCTTATCAACGTTATGATCAAAATAACTGTAGACAACTGTATCTTCGTGCGTTCGAACGTTACATTTTTACAATCATTAGGCTTTATCGTACGAAATATCTGAGATGACTGAATCTTGAATATTAGAAACGAACCGATCTTTAATGATCGCATCGTCAAGTTTCACTCGTACAATCCGTACATCAACATGACTTTTGGACATAGCGACGAGATACCCATACAACAGCAGGATTTATACACGTTACCGTGTAAAAATATTCTCAATGTCGAAGGTAGATTGACTTCAAAGGAAGAAAATGTACAAAACTTGAATGTAATTGGCATTCATGTTCGATGAAATTCGATATGAACTCAACGATATGGAGATTGATAGCAGAAATATTGGACTAGTCTTATGAAGAGTTATGCAATGTTTTCTAATGAAGTCTTATATAATTTGCATAATGCATTTCTCGATTTTAGTGATACCGCGAAAAATCTAATGACAGATGACGGATACTTTAATTTTTGTGTGCCGCTCATGTTATTGAGCTTTTGCGAAAATTACAAACGTGATAATTAACACTCGTCACGAATTGATTTTGATACGAGCGCGCAATGGTAACAATTACATAATGGGAAATCCAGCGACAGAATCAAATTGATTTGATTTATTCAAAGTACAGTAGCGAATGCCTCATGTTGCGTTGAATGAAGTTAATAAACTATCCAATGCTACGAGCCTTGAAAAGTGGACAATATCTAAGTATAAGTTTCCGTTCTTAAGAACTGTACAAATATTCCTATTATCGATACAATGAAGCATTCGTGGGCCATCAAGACTGCAATTAGAAAACCGTGACTCAACTAGAAAAACCGCGATATGTATCTTTGGTCTACAGACTGATAAAAAAATATCATGACAAAACTTACTTCACTTGTAAATTAACCAATGTAAAACTTTATCTAAACTCCGAATTTTATCCATATGATCTAAATCTAGACTTTGATAGACACACAACCGCATTTTGTACGATATATATGTACGTTTTCATACGTTTTACTATCAAATCCCTCATGAAAAAATGAACCTTCATTGCAATTAAATTCCTTTTTGAGAGGTTTTAGTCTAGTAACTATTGACTGCTCGCGAGTCGTCAAAAATGAGTCGTCAAAAGTGGCATCGTGGATATACGATTAGAATTTGAATTCAAAGAGAATTAAATGTATCCACGAATATTACAGCCTATTGCCTCATTATACACGACCGCATGATCGAATACAGCCTAATGTCCAACATAGTACGTAAATTATCGTTTTTGCAAAAGAATAATACCCTTCCCTCTTTTTTTCGATATAAGGGATAAAAGTCTAAATTTTTTCCTGATCGAGCAGTTTCAAAAAGTCGTTCGTTATAACCATCCAACGTTTGTGGATCTGCAAGGATTTATCATTAGAAGATTTGTTGTGAAGGAAGTGATTGTGCTAAGAAAAAGAGTTATTCTTTTTTATTACATTTTACATGCCACATGCCATGGAATATTTTGAAGATTCGAAAAGTCTTGCGCTTCCTGGTTGAATGCTTATCACCGTGAATTGCAATGGGAAGACGAAATGATCCCATACAACATGATAATATGTCTGATGAAAATATGTCTGATGATAATGGCTGATGATAATCAATGTGGAAGAGAATAACAACAATAAGCTCTTGTATACGTTAAAGAACGTGCATGATTGGCTATACTTGATAGTGACGACATAACATTGAAATCTTCTGGACGTTATCTCTGGACGTTAATTACGAAGATATAGAATCTTTGAATAATTTAGATATTACTATGCGATGTGGAAAATATGCTAAGAATTGTGCGTTACAGAATATATTTAAAATATACAACTGGTAATCACAACGTCGAAAAGTATCATTTTGAAAACTAAAGTGAGATTTTTTTTAATATGTTTTAATTTCTTTCCTTTTCCAATAGTTAAGAATACGATAGCTATTCGGCAGTACGATTCAATAAGTATTCAAGTTAGCGAATAAGAAAATCACGTATCATGCTTCGCTATTTGCCTTATACTATATATTAAAAATTAGTTTTTTTATTGAGACATATAATTTTAACATGGGATTATTTTTTTCTGTAAATGATATCTTGTAAAAATGTTTACGTTTTTCATCATGTTTTTCGGATGTGGTACTTTTTTATATACTTTTGATCGAAAGGTAATACTAAGGATTCTTTCGAAAAATATCCAGGGAAAGACCATTTTGATTGAATCAACTAAAAACTCTTTGAATATGGATAAACAAATCTCAATTTAATAAAACAGATTTTCCAATGCACCTAAATCACGTAAGTCACAATTTTTATTGCTACCTACATTTTCTGCAACCTCTAGCAGTCAGTCGGTCAGTGTGTCAGTATAGATTCTATCGCTGCATTAATCTCAAAAATTGTGAGATTTTTGTGAAAATATGCAACTTGCAAGATTACTCGAAATTACTTACAAATACCAGGTCTTTGATGTATGTATGTAATTTTTTGTGATTATTTTTCTCTTAGTGTGATTTTTAATGATTCGTTTTTTAATTTAAGGTGCTAATAGATGATAATGAGCCTGTAGAACAGCTTCAATTAAGAAATGAATTGGAGATACAAATAGTGCCTGTGGTGAGTAAAACTCCACTTTTATGTACACCATTTTTTTTATATCAATGTAATTTTTTTAATTAATGATATCTATTTTTATTATTAGAACGTTCAACGTCGCGATCAAAACGGAGATTTATCAACATAGATCACCAGCGAAGAGTCGGACTAATGAGATTTTTCAGTAGAGCAGATTCTTGATGAACTCTGAAAGGAGTACCCAAAAGAAAATTTAAATTGGATGCCTTTTGATATTTTTGATCTGCACTATTTATTCGGACTTCGTCCGTATGAAGTCGACGAGGAAATGGGGTAAGTATTTATTTCATTTTTATTATTATATTTGAAATGTTGTATTTAAAATATTGTATTTAAATATTAATACAATGCTTTTTTGGCAAACAAAAAAAACTGCAAAAATAAATATTAAAATTACATTACTGTATGTTTAAAATTATTTATTCCTTTGTCTCTACATCATTCCTTCGACATACACCATATATTAAATAGTTGATAAGACGCTCATTACACAATTAAAAATTATTACATTTAGAAGCTAGGTCATATCATTTTAAAAATCGTTGAAAAAATGCCATCTTAATAATACTCATTTAATATCGAGAAGAAAAGATAACGAGGAAGAAAATACGGGGGAAAAAGAGAGAGCATGAATAATGTGATAGGTATGGGATTGCAACGGGAGGAAGAGAGAGAGAGAGAGAGAGAGAGAGAGAGAGAGAGAGAGAGAGCATATAGGGCCGCAATGAGTTAGAGAGAACTGCACCTTATAATGGGTGGAAGAGAGAGAATAACATGCCTCTCTCTCTCTCTCTCTCTCTCTCTCTCTCTCTCTCTCTCTCTCTCTCTCTC